ACTTGTGCTGCTGAGCTATATCCCTGGCCCAGAAGAGATTAACAACATGACTTTTTTTTTTTTTTTTGGTATCAGAAATCGAACTCAGGACCTTGCACTTGCCTCGCAGGCGCTGTAACATGACTGCTAATAAAGCCTCATGCAGTCATGGGGCGGTCTTCTAGAGTTTATGTGATTGACTCATGGTCCAATGCTGGGATTATGGGTGTGAGGCTATACTCACCCTAGGGTGGTTAACCTGCACACAGTACAAGGGAGGGAAAGAGGCTTGCTCTCTCTGCTCCTCCTTTTTTTGCTCTTGTTGCTTCTGCCGTTTTCCATACCATGAACTATCGCCCTCTGCCGTGTGCCACCCTTCCTTGGAGTCAACTGATTATGGACTGAAACCTCCACAAACTGTGAGCTAAATAAACCTTCCCTCCTATTTTGTCTCAGCAATGGGTATTTTATCTCAGCAATGAGAGAAAAGTAACCAAGATAGTGACTACTCAACAAGTGCAAACTAAAACTACAGTGAGATACTGTATTACCACACACGAACTAGAATGGTTAAACTTAAAAGGACTGACAGTACCAAGTACAGGATACCTTAGAGATATCGCAGGCTTGGATACAGGTCACTGCAATAAAGCAAATGTGACAATAAAGTAAGTTATGCAAATTTTTAAATTTTCCAGTGCATAAGAAAGTTATGTTGCTGGGTGTGGTGTCGCGTATCTATAATCCCAGCCTTCTGGAGACAAAGGCAGAAGGACTGCTGTGAGTTCAGGGCCAGTCTGAATACATAGTGAAACCATGTCTCAAAAAAACAAGAAAAAAAAAAGAAAAAGTTATCTCCATACTATGTTGTAGTCAGGTAAGTGTGCAATAATAGCATTATCAGTAATGTGACTACCTTGATTAAAAAATACATTACTGCTAAAAAATGCTAACAATCATCAGAAGTGTTGGAAAAATTGCACTGATAGACTTGCTTGACACAGGGCTGCCACAAAACTTCCAGTTTGTACAAAATGCAATGCACACGAAGCATAAGGAAGTTCCGTAAAACAAGGTATGTCCTGTACTGGGAAGGACATGAGCAACCAAAACTTATATGCTGTCGGTGAGAATACAAAATAGGACTACTCTGGAAAAGTTTCCTACAAGGTTCAACACACACTTACCATACAACCTGGCAATCCATCTTCTGCAGGACTACCCGGAAGACTTCCGCACAAATATTCACAGCAGCCCAAATGGAAACAAACATCAAATGGACAAATATGAGTACATTCATATCAGGGAGTACTCTACAGCAAAAGGAAACAAACTTCTGATAAAACAACGTAGCTGAATCTCTAAAGCATTATGCTGAGGGGTAGAAGCCAAAGAAACACACCCCATGCTGTACCGTTTCTTCCTTCACATGGAATTCCAGAAAAGGCAAAGGCTACAATAGTAGTGGGTCAATGGCTGTCAAAGACCAGTGGCTGAGGGAAGGGACTGGCTGCAGAGGGACACCGAGGGCTTCCCAGGACGATGGTGAGGAGATGGCTCACTGCATGGCTGTGTAGTGACTCTACGACCAGTCCAGTCTACAGCGCTGGGAGTGTCCATCTTGCAGCAAAGGGAGGGAAAGACCAAGGGAGCCCAGAAGTTGAGCACAGGCCTTGAACTCATCAGGGAGCCCAGGATGGCCCTGAACTTGTGAGGATCCTCTTGCCTCAGCCTCTTGAGCGCTGGGATTACAGGCATGTGCCACCTTGGCCAGCTAAAAAAATCTTTAAATGGGCAAAATATTGGGCTGCAAGTTTTGGAGGTTTGAGAAGCGGCTGCCTCTGTGGGTCTGTAGCCTGGGGGCTGGTCTGGCACTCTTGCTGGGACGACAGGACAGGAAGAAGTCCTGGAAGGGAAGCAAAGGAGAGTGAGTACAACCTGGAACCCATCAGTTACCTATGTGCTTGTTTATTACCCCATGTGACTGCAAATTTCAGAAAAAAATGGCTCAGCCAGGTGTGGTGGCACATGCCTGTACTCCCAGCACTTCGGAGGCTGAGGCAGGAAAATCAGTGTGAGTTCCAGTCTAGCCTGAGTTATGCAGAAGACCCAGTCTTGCCCCGCCTCTCAAAGTAATGGGCCTGCTTCATTTCTGCCTCCCAATCTGGTATAAGTCTCTTTTTGGTCAACTCTAACTAGATTTATACTCTATGGAAGGGAATTCTGAGTAATACCCAGCTTGACCAAGTTGAAAATAATACAAAATAGCACAAACACACAATTTCAAGAGCCATCTTTTATTACTTTTTATGTAACTAAGTTTTCTTGCTATCTCAGTGAAAATAATAAATAGGTACAGCTTAGTAATTAACAGTGCATTGTTAGCTATGTGATAATATTTAATCAATGATGTCAACTAGAAAGGATCAGTCATATTTCATTATGACAAGTGTCCAAACAATTTTATATGTAATAACTGACATAGGTACATAAAACATAATGTATGTTGTTCTAGTTTTGTGTAATAGAAATAAAAATTCAATCCGACCAAAAAAAAAATGAACTTAGAGACTTATAATTATAAGCAGTTTAGAATTTTAATTTCTATCCTGTGTGTGTGTGATCAAAGCGTACGACTAACAAAGAATCTGTACTGGGAGTAGGGACAGAACTCAGTAGAATATTTAGCAGGCATGAAGCCCTGGGTTCAACTCCCAGCACCCCCGATCCCCAGAAGATTTTTTTGTTTGTTTTTGAGACAGGTCTCCTTACACAGGCTGGCCTTGAACTCTCAGCGTGCCTCAACCTCCCGGGTGCTGGGATCATGGGGATGCACCACCGTACTCAGCCATTTTTCTCTTTTAAATCAGGAAATATACGTCTTTGACTGTCCTGAAGTCCTGAATGAATTAACAGCAAGGAATTCTGGAGGCAATCACCCCCGACTCAGGGTTTCCAGTTACAGTAACTGTATTCTCTCTTGACCTCAGTTGAAAACCCTGACTCGCAGAAAGCCACATGCCTGGCAAGTGCCGACACCAGCTATGTAGGAGGCTTTTTCAGAGGCAAAGACAACTTTGTCTTCCCAGAGGACAACTCCTCCACTTGGCTCTATGAGGCAGATAGCAACCCCAAGCCACAGAAGGCGAGGGCCTGCGCAGGCCTCAAAGGGGAAAGGTCAGCTCTTCCCTGCCCGCATTACTGAAAAAGGCTGGCTTTACAGAGTGACAGATACTATTTTTTGCTACACACATATTTTTCCTTACCTGCTTTCAAGGGGAAATAAACGTCAATACCAATCTCCACAGGAAAACCCGACATCCAGGAGACGATAGAAGAGATCCAGATTTCAGTTTCCGGCAAACATAATGTTTCTTTCTTTGGAGAAATATTTAGTTTTGTTAAGAACATGTGAAACTGCACACAAGTGTTTATCTACAGTAAAAGTGAAATTCCTAAATGCCTCAAGGGAGCACAGCCCTTTTTACAGCACGACATCCTGTTAGCTGCTCGGCGGGAATTTTAAGGGTTAATTACCAGAGCTTTGGGACAGGAAGTCGCAGAATCCCCTGAGGACAGTTAAGGCCCTTCAGAGAAGACCACAAGGAACAGGTTTAAATCAGTCAAAGAAGACAACCCTTTCTCCGGGGGAACCAGGCTGACCTGCTGATTATGCTAAATCCTCTACCCCGAGGTGGTCCTGTCCCAGGTTTTCAAACAGGTGCTGTAGGAAGAAGCCCGCCCTGGAACACGTCTGACTCGTCTCCCCAGTAAAATTCCCTTCTTTCCTAGCCGGGCGTAGTGGCGCATGCCTGTAATTCCAGCACGCAGGAGGCTGAAACAGGAGGATCCCCACGAGTTCGAGGCAAGCCTTGGCTACATAATGAGTGTCTCCCCTGTAATGAGGTCAAGGGCGATCAAGGTAGGTTTAGGAAACCTGTCTACCTTCAGACGGAGTCACCTCTGGGTACCCGGGAGAAGGGCTGCTCACCGAAGCGCTGCCGCACTTCCAGACTGCAACAGGCTACCTGCGCGCGTGGCTCTCGGTGCTGTCCCGGTTTCTCAGCAGGTGAGGCCAGTTCACTCTCGGGATCCCGACGCTCTGGGTCCGCCTCGGCGCCGCGAGACTCAGGAGGGCTGGGCGGCCGATCAGGCCGCAGCAGGTCTCGTTAGCCAGGAGCGTCGGCGTCGCCTCGCGGCCCCGCCTGGGTCGCCCCCCACGCCCCGCACGGAGAGCGCAGGGACCTCGCCCCCGCCATGGCCCGAGCCCAAAGGCCCGGGCGCCGGTCCCTCCTCTGGGAGAACTGCACACCGCGCGGGATTTCCCTGCACCTGGCCGCGCCCCTCCAAGGGGCGGGGTCGGGGCGGCCGGACATGGCGACAGCAGCAGGTCTGACGGTCACTTTCCCCGGCGCCCTTGACTGGCTCTCGCGCCGCGCAACCTACCTTGCTACTAGGCCGCCCTGGCTCGAGGGGTGTAGGGGCGGGAGGGGGCGGTGAAGAGCCTTGGGCTGGACCAATCAACACTCAGGTGTCCGAGTCTCACCCAATGAGAGCTCGGGAGGCGAACACAGGGGTAGGCTACACTCGGACAGCGCGCGAGACGGAGGCGGGACGCACGGGACCTTTTCTGCAGCCGGGCCGGGGTCTCCCGCCCGGTGGCTTCCCGTGTGCTTCGCGCCACAGTACCGTGGCACCCACCGGCCGCACGGAGACGCAAGGAGGCCGAGCGCGCGAGGGCCGGGTGCGTGGGCGCACCCCTCGCGCGGAGACCCTTCCTCGGCGATTGCCGCGGGGAGACATGCGGGCCGGGGCCTGGCCGCGGCGCCGCGAGACGGACTCGGGGGCGGGCTGCTAGGGGCTCCGCAGACGGCGCTGCGGCGCTGCTTCTTCCTCCCGGGGCCGGGGGGCGCGCGGCGGCGGCATGTTCCCGCGGAGGCCGCTGGCCGCCTGGCTGGCGGGGGCGCGGGGCGGGGGCCTGCTGGGCCTGCTGGCCAATCAGTGCCGCTTCGTGACGGGGCTGCGCGTGCGGCGCGCGCAGCAGATCGCGCAGCTCTACGGCCGCCTCTACTCGGAGCGCTCGCGCTGCGTCCTGCTCGGACGCCTGTGGCGCAGGCTGCGCGGCCGCCCGGGCCATGCCTCTGCCCTGATGGCGGCGCTCGCCGGCGTCTTCGTGTGGGACGAGGAGCGAATCCAGGAGGAGGAGCTGCAGAGGTGGGTCGTGCGGCTGCCGCGCCGGCGGCGGGGGGCGCGGGGACCTCGGCGCCCGCGCTGCGCTGCGTCGATGTTCCCCGTTTACGCGGTGGTCTTGAGGCAGCGGTGCGGTAGATGGATGCCGTCTTACCTATCCGCTGCATTCCCTTGCTGTGTTCATCGCTTTTGTCGGGTTGAAGATAAGAACTGCGAGCGTGGGTTAATCCAGGGGGGAGACGTCGAGTGGGTAGCAAGCGTGACGCTAAAGAAAACAGCATTGGAAAAAAAATAAATTAGATATCGAAGGTATGGAGCCAGCGCGCACTTGAACACACCCAGAAAAACGCACATTCGAAACGCATTTGAAACTCGATCTGGAGGTGTCGTGTTGCCATTTGCAAAATGACTGCCGTCCAGATGGGACTTGGGCGTTGTGAGAAATGCCCGGAGAGCTCCCTGTCATTGTGACTTGGCGTCTTGGCAGAATGAAGAGGCTGGAAGGGATTTTGCCCTGCTTGCACAAACCAGTCGCCTAGGCATTTTTAACCTGTACAATTAGGTCAGGTTTTTGCTATTTCAGAACTTTCGGGGTACTATGTTATATGGCTTTGAAATCACTGCTGTCATTAAAACTTCTGTGGGAAAAACCCAGTACAGTATTGTTCACTGGATCTGTTAATCTGTTGTTGAGTCTGAAACTTCATAGTTTTTAGGTAATCTCAGAGAAACTTGGCTTTAGGATTTGCTTTACAATGTCTCTGCGTTCTATCATTACTATTATTATTATTATTACAGTATTGATGATTAAATCCACAGCCTTGCACATGCTAAGCAAGTGTTTCATCTCTGAGCTATCCCTTTTAGTTTTTCTATTTTGAGATAAGGTCTCACTAAGTTACCCAGGCAGGCGTCAAACTTGATATCTTACTGCTTCAGCCTACCAAGTAGTTGGTATTATAGGTGTGCAGCATAGGGCCTGCTCTATCTATCTATCTCTCTATCTATCTGTCTATCTATTTATGGTCTTTTTGAGACAAGGTCTCACTCTGCAGTTCAGGCTGGCCTTGAGCTCACCTTGTAGCCCAGGCTGGTCTCAAACTCACCAGGATCCCCTACCTCAGCCTCCCCTGCCTCAGCCTCCCGAGTCCTGGGATTACAGGCATGTGCCACCATGCTTGGCTGCTTTATTTTTTAAAACAGATATTCCTAGCCGGGCGTGGTGGCACACGCCTGTAATCCCTGAACTCGGGGAGGCTGAGGCAGGGGATCCTGGCGAGTTTGAGACCAGCCTGGGCTACCAAGTGAGCTCAAGGCCAGCCTGAATTGCATGGTGAGACCCTGTCTCAGAAAAGACAAAAAAAAAAAAACCCAAAACACCACAAAACAGGTACTCTTAAACTGCAAAACCTCCCCCACCTCGGGGCATTCTGTTCCTACATGCTGAAACCTGGGATTTCAGGAACAGCCCCTCCCCCAATAGATCTCACAGAGTTTTCTTTATAATTCTTCAATAGGGAGACACCCTGTTGTTCCGCAGTTTTGATTCGCTGCAGAATGGTAATCCACCAACGAAGTTTCTACCATGGCCTGTTTGGGATGTGTAACACTGAGATGTCAGGCAGCTATTTGTGTAACCCTATGAATTGTGGGAAATGCAAGTCTGTCTTAAGAACTAGGAGCTGGGGATGCTTGTGCACCCATATCTTAAAATAATAAAAAAGACTAGGGATGTAGCTCAGTGGTAGAATACCCTTGGGTTCAATCCCCAGTACCACACCTGCACACACATACTCGTGTGCTCACACACACACAAAGGAATCCTTGTTCTAACAGGAAAGAATGCTTTTTATTTTTTTATTTTTTTTTGGTTTTTCTCCGGTACCGGGAACCGAACTCACGACCTTGCGCTTGCCAGGCAGGCGCTTTGCCGCTGAGCTAAATCCCCAGCCCAAGAATGCTTTTTAAATGCAGTTTAAACTCATAACCAGAAACAGCCTTATTCTCCAAAAAAGTTAAGGTGTCAAAGTATACCATAATAGCTGTAGCAGAAGCAGTTTCTGTTAACATTGTTTTGTGACTATGACATTTGTACTAATCAGTCTCTTGTAAAAAAATAAAAGAATGGGAAGAAAACTTTTAAATTAGGAAATTTCAAAAAAAAAAAAAAATTAGAAAATTGCCAACCTGGGCATGATAGCATAGTCCTGTAATCCCAGCAGTCTAAGTGACTTGATACAGAAGTTTGAGCCCAGCCTGGGGGCTTAGTGACTTGGGAGATCCTGTCTTAAAATAAAAAGGGCTGAGGCTGTAGCTCAGTGTGGAGGCCCTGGGTTCATGTAGTGGTGCAAGTGAGAGAAAAAAATCTTCTGTGGGGCTGTTTAAGGAAGAAGACAGAGACCAGAAAAGGGTTACACTGGGGGAAAGAGAGGAGTTTTGGGAGGGTGGATTTGAATCATGTTGGGGCCTAATGGTAGACAGCACTCTCTGGCTTGCTTCATGCATTTATATGGAGAATATGTCCTGGAGCCTCTTTTAGCAGTTCTCCCACTTGTGGGAGCTGGAAGGGAAAACATGATGGGACGTGAATGTAATAAGCACTGAATTTAGTAGGCACTGCCGATTGTGACAGAGAGATCAGACCAGTCGGTGACGAAACCAGTTAATTATTGTTTTCCTCTCTCCTGGGTGTCTCCGAAACATGGGAGCAGTTGAAATACTCTTGGTTTTCCAGCTTATCCAGAGGAGTTATTCAGGGCTAACCAGCTTCAGAACTTCAGAGATTAATAAAAAGTGTAGTCTGAGTATGTGTGTGTGGGGGGGAGCGGTTCCTGGGAATTGACGTCTGCATGCTTAGCAGTGGGACACAGCCCTAGCCGACAGACATTGTAGTTGACCTCTTGATGACAGTTTGGGGTTATTATATAGTGAAGCCCCTCATTTAACATTTTGTCCAGTTCATGCTTAAATTCAGCTTTTCATGTATTTGAGATATGACCAAGTTTTCCATCTAATGTATGTTCTTGTGATAAGGAGGCAAATTTGCTATTTAACACCTACATCTTGATTGTATAGTGGTTGCTTAGTTCTTAGTTCTGATAGTTCATGTTTGTTTTTTGTTTTGAGACAGGGCTTCCCTATGTAATCCAGGCTGGCCTTGAACTCACTGTGATCCTCCTGCCTTAGTCTCTTAGTGCTGGGATCATAGGTGTGCATTAATTACCATGTCCAATATATGCTTATATTTTGTAGAGTAAAATATTCTGGTAACAGGTTAATTTTTGCTTGATGTTTATTCTCTCTGCTGTAGGAGAGTTTGTTACAGCTCCGATAGAACGAAGTCTTGGGTTTGTTTGTTTTATGAGGTGATTTTGGGTGGTGTCCAAAATGAAGCACAGTTGCCTGTCAGGTTAAGTACATTTCTGTCATTGTTAATGGACAAAGATCCTGATTGTCACATGGTCCCTAAATCACAGCTTTTGGCTCATCTGTGGGATTTCTGAACCAGCTTGCCCTGGCATACACTAATTCTGTTTGTTTGGGTTTTTTAAAATCTTTTTGAGACAAGGTCTTGCTATGCAGTTCAGGCTGGCCTTGAGCTCACTTTGTAGCCCAGGCGGTCCTTGAATTTGCAACGATCCTCCCACCTCAGCCTCCCTGAGTATAGGCATGCACCACCGCTCCCGGCTCCTACGCTAATTCTGATGTTGCTATCTTGGTTAAAGAGGTTTGAAGTAAGCAAGATATCTTTTAGAGTGTGTACTTTAAAATGGCATGTGCCTTTCCTATGTTTTAATTTGTATTACAAATGAAGAAGGATAATCTTTCTTTACTTTTGTGCTAAAGAAAATCTTTTTTTTTTTTTTTGAGACAAGGTCTCCCTGTGTAGTTCAGGCTGGCCTTGAACTCATTCTGTAGCCCAGGCTGGCCTTGATCCTCCTGCCTCAGCCTCCCAAGTGCTGGGATTACAGACGTGCATCACCATGCCTGGCATGTTTAAAGAAAATCTTAACAAATAAGATTTATTGATTGTTTGATTGATTGATTGCCTTTTTGAGACAGGGTCTCGCTATGCAGTTCAGGCTGGCCTTGAACTCATTTATGTAGCCCAGTCTGGCCTCAACTCACAATGATCCTCCTGCTTCAGCCTCTCTAGTGCTGGTATTACAGGCATCTGCCACCACACTTGGCCTGAGCTCACTTTGTAGCCCAGGCTGGTCTCAAACTGGCAGTGATTCTCCTGCCTCAGCCTCCTGAGTGCTGGGATTATGGGCATGTGCCAGCACACTTGGCAAGATTTGTTAAATTTAAATAAGTTTAATTTTATGTGAGCAAAGTGACCTGTACAAAGTGATTTTGACTTGCAGCAGAGTCTGGTTGTAGAAATCAGATCTTTTGCCCAGAAGCTGAGGCAGGAGGTTTTCGAGTTGATCTGCTTGGGCAATTTAGCAAGACCATGTCTCAAGATAAAATAGAAAGGGCTGAGGAATATAGTTCAGTGCTCCCCAACCCCTCATCGATTCCCAGTACCAACAAAAATACAAAAACTAAAACAAAAAAATCCCACGTTTCAATACTTGGGCTTGTATTCTCAGCTACTTGGCTCCAATTAAACAATCAAAATAACTTTGCTCACTGTTTTTGGTACAAGTTTGCATTTTGTGAGCCCAAGACAAATCTTATGGAAAAATTCAGTAGGTTTTTTTTTTTTTTTTTTTTTATTGCTTTGGAACAGTTAAAAATAATCATAAGAACAAAAAAAGGAAGGATGTTAAGAAATCTGTAAGTCTTTGGGAATATGTTTTATTAGCTTCCTCTGTCGTATTTCAGTTTCGATTCATTGTTCTAGAAATTTGAATAAACAGTGCCAGTAAAGCTTAATAAGGAAAATTGGACATTTTCCCATTTTTGTATTCTGGAGGCTTTTGAATGCATTAAACTTTCTCATGTCATTTACTAGATGAATAATCAGTGTAAAACCCTTTTCACGTTAAAGGAACTCTCATGGTGGGAGGGAACCCACTGGCACTGCACTGCCCATTTTACCTATCTTAGATCAGTCTTAGGTCACTTGAAAGTGAACCTCATTTTTTTTTTTTTTTTTAAGACTGTCTTCATTATTTTACTTTGTTACCCCAGAACCGTCATGAACTAATTGGTGTTTTTTATTTCAGAATATGTTCCAAATCAAATCAGTAGTACCTGAAAATTCCTAGCTCTGTCAGTAGTTTGGCAGTTGAGGAGGGGATTATGCGAAGTACCACAGTTGCTTTGAATTCCTAATTTCAGGACTGTTTTGTTTGAAGTGTTTTGGGGCCTTATATCCCTTTCTGTGCCTTGGGCAGGGCTCCTAGCCTGATCAGACACTGGTATAATTACCTTGTTTTCATTGTATGCCTTCAGCCCAGCCTTTCAAACATTGTAGTGATTTTCAGAAGTACAGACTATTTTTGTTTGATCCCTTTACTAATCTGATTTTGTTACTATTTGGGAAATAATCTCTTTTGTCCTTATTACCTCTCTCTTCTGGTTAGTTTAAGTCTCTTGGATATGAAGGTTTAGGCTGTGGATGGTGGCACACACTCTAATCCTAGCACTGTGAGAGCTCAGGCAGGAGGGCCAGAATTGGAGCCCAGCCTTGGTCTTACTAGGTTCACACCCCAGTACCACAGCTAAGAAGGGAAAGATTATGAAGGTTTAGATACCTATCCTATCCAAACAAGATTTGGCAGATTAGACTAAAAAGAGATGTAAGGCTTTTCCGTGCTGTATATGATAGTATTTCTGCTCCTATGTGCTAATTAAGTCTGTCATATTACTGTTCAGAAGTTGAGACCCTGCTGGGCATGGTGTGCCTGTAGCCCTTGCACTCTGAGACACTGAGGCAGAAGGACTGCAAATTCAAGCCAGCCAGGGCAATTTAGTGGCTTAGTGAGATCCTGTCTCAAAATAAAAATAAAGGGCTGGGAATGTAGCTTAGTACATAGGCCCTAGGTTCAGTCCCTAGTAGGGCAAAAAACAAAACAAAAAATCCTTTACCCCAAGTGTAGTAGTGCGTACCTATAATCCCAGCATTCAGGAGGCTGATGTAGGATAGTGAGTTACAAGTCTAGGGTGAGAGCCATAGAGAGATCCTGTCTCAAAATGAAAAAACTTACGCAGCAAAGTACACTACCAAGGAAGTGTAAAAACAACTCATAGAATGAAAGCAGATATTTATAATTCGTGTATTGGCTAAGGGATTGACGTCTAGAATATTGTATAAAGAACTGTTGAAAGTCAATTAGATAACCTATAAGATGGGACAAAGGATTTCAATAGACATTCTCCAGAGAAGTTTCACAAAAGGCCACTAAGCACATGAAAGATACTCAATATCATTAGTCATCAGCAGAGAAGACCACCAACGGAATCCCACGTCACACCCTCTAGCAACAAAAAAGATGGATAATAATAAATGTTGGCCAGGATGTGGGGTCACTGGAATCTTCATACACAGGTGGTGTGAATATAAAACAGTGCAGCTGCTTTGGAAGATAGTTTGGCAGTTCCTCTGAAAGTTAAACATAGAGTTGCCATGACCTAGCAAATTCAATCCGAGAAATGAATCTGCCCAGGAGAGTTGAAAACATGTCTGTGCAAGAAATTTGTACACAGATGTTCTTAGCAGTATTATTCATTGTAGCCCCCAAATGGAAACAACCTGAATGTCCATTACCCAGTAAACCAAAGGTGACATACCCCTGTCATGGAATGCTGTTCAGCTCTGAAAAAGAATAAGCTGCATCAGTGAAACTTGGAAATATTTCAAGTGAAGGAACCCACATACTGTCATACGTTGTATGATCCCATTTATCTGAAATGCTGAGAATCGGCAAGTGCATAGAGAACAGACAGTAGTCTTGTGGTTGCCAGGGTTGGCAGGGAGGCAGGAATGGGGAATGACTAATGATGGGTACAGGTTCCTCTTGGAATGATGAGAATGTTCTGGATTTAGGTAATGATGGTAGTTACCCAACCTTGTGAGTATATTGATAAGCACTGCATTGTAAACTGTAAAGGGGTGAACTTGTGGTATGTGAGTTATATCTCAATTTGAAAAGGAGGAAAAATTTAGAAATACTATTAACAATGTAGAAAGAAGACAACTCAGTTTAAAAAATGGGTAAAAGATAACAAGTGGCATTTTACAGTCATAAACCTTAGCAGTTAACCAGAGGGCTGTGTGCCAGGCCTTAAGCACTGTACATAAAAGCTTGTTGATGTGCTCTTATGTGAGCATTGGGCTAGGATTCAAACTCAGGAACCATTTCTGTTCACCACACTGCGCTGTGGCAAACACACACCCCTCCTTTGCGGGGGTGTGCGTGGACACTCGGTTGCACAGGGCTCACCGGCCATCTCCAGCCTTCTCCAGCGTGCCTGTTTCTGTCCTTTGCAGATCCATTAATGAGATGAAAAAGTTGGAGGAGGTGTCGAGTATATTTCAGAGCTCTGGGGTTGAGCGCCACTCTCCAGAGTCAAAATCCCAAACAGACGGGGATGAAGACTCGAAGGACAGAGAGCAGCCGTGGGAAATGGTGATGGACAAGAAGCACTTCAAGCTGTGGCGGCGCCCCATCGCGGGCACCCACCTGTACCAGTACAGAGGTGGGCGAGCCGGGCCGCCGTTCCTCGGACTTCTCTAGTGGACTTCTTTCAGTCGGGTGGCTTCTCGCAAAATCTGTCGTGTTCGTTTTTTGTTTTGTTCTTGTTGTGTTCCTCTCGCAGATGACCAGCTTCTGGGTTTGTTCCTCACTGTGGGTCATCTCTGTCTCTGCCCAGCGTGGCTTCTGGCTTCTGCACCTGCTTCTGGCAGTGTGCCAGTGCTCTAGAACTGCAGTGCAGCTAGCCGGTGGGAGCGGGTGAGGCGGGGGTGTGTGGCAAGTGTCCCTTATTCTTTCTTGTCTTTCCAGTTTTTGGAACCTACACAGATGTGACGCCGCGGCAGTTCTTCAACGTTCAGGTGAGTTAGTTTCTGCCCAGGTTTGAAAGCTTGCCAGCAAGCCAGCTACTGCTGTCCACACAGCATTTAGGTAAACTCGTGTGTGCGGGTGGGTGGGGTGCCGAGGTTGAACTCTGTGGGCAGACATTTGGCTTATAGTTTCTTTGTCTGTTTTATGGGGATGAGACTGATCTATCTACCCCTACCACAAATCCCCGACTGCCGGGAAAATGGAATGGATTTGAATGCTTTAATATTTTTGTGAGGCTTTGTTTTTTTTTTCTGTACAGTTTGAAGGTAGGGTATGTGCGTTGTGGTCCCTTATTCCTAAATCTTCCACTGCATATTTGCTCAACTAGACATGCTTTCTTCATTGTGTCACTGCGGTACCATTATTAAAGTCAGTGATGCAGTGATTGATGCAGTGATTTCATTCAGGCTTGTTTGTGTTCTAGTTTTACTGGTTGACCTTCATAGCATTTTCCTGTTCAGCACAGACCCAGCCCGGGTTACATTTAATTATTAATTATTATCTTTAACCTCTTTTTAATCTACAACATTTCCCTGTGAAGGTATTTATTGGGCAGAGTTGAAGAGTATCTGTTCAAGGGCTATTTTTCTCCTTCAGATGGTGTTTATAACAAAGTGAGAAGGGGAGGTGGGACCATCCAGAAATTTTCTTTTGTGGTACTTGTTTTGCCAGACTTTCCGTAACTAGTCTGTTGATTATCACACTGTCAGTAACATGCAAGTGCCCCTTCACCTAAGCACTGAATTGTATCAGTCTGTATTGTATTTTTGTTGATTGGGATGTATAGGATATGTCTGTCTTTGAAATTCCTGTTACTCGTGGTATCAGAAGTTTACAGTATGGACTGGGTATGTAGCTCAGTGGCACAGCACCTGCCTGGCAGGCTCAAGGTCCTGAGTTCAATTTCTGGTACACACATACACAAAGGAAAGAAAAGAAATTTACAGTATGCTGCTTGCATTTTTTGTGAAGTGTCTTCTCATACTTTGGGATTTGTTTTGTCTGTTTAAGGCTGTTTAGAATAATAGTGAATTCTGTGAAATAGTGAAGACCAAACATTGTCTTTCCTAGCTGTGTCTTTTACAGTATTTTTTTCTTTGGTTAGCCCCCTCTTTTTGTTTTTTTTTTTGTTGTTTGTTGAGATAGGGTCTCACTGTATAGTTCAGGTTGGCCTTGAACTCATTGTGTAGCCTAGGCTGGCCTTGAACTTGTGGGGATCTTCCTGCCTCAGCTTCCCAAGTGCTGGAATTACAGGCACGCATTACCATGCCTGGCTGCCTTTTTATTTTTAAGAGTCGGTTTCAGTGGATGAAAAGATTTAAAGAGTTGGCTGGAAAAAACAGTCGTGCTACTCACGCTTGGGCAGTGCTGGGTCTGATCACTGTTCCCCATCAGAAGTCCAAGTGTGTAGAGAAGCTTTCTGTATTTCTTGATTTGGAACTTCTGGTCGGCATGGTCTTCTCTTCCACAGCTGGACACTGAGTACAGAAAAAAGTGGGATGCCCTGGTGATCAAGCTGGAGGTGATCGAGAGGGATGCAGTTAGTGGTTCTGAGGTTCTTCACTGGGTGACCCATTTTCCTGTGAGTACTTTTACTTCTGGTTCTGCTTCTGTTGAGTCCATGGATGCAGAACACTAATCCTCCCCTTCACTTCCTCAGTATCCAATGTACTCTCGGGATTATGTTTACGTTCGTCGGTACAGCGTGGATCAGGAAAACAACGTTATGGTGCTGGTGTCACGGTAGGTGTGGCTGTTGTGTCCCTTACCCGGCTCCTTAGCTATGCCTTTCACTCGAGTGTTCTCCACAGCTTCCTGCAAGCTTCTGAGGACCTGGGGCCCCACCTGGCCCAGTTATAAGAGGAATGGGCCGGGGAGGTGGAAGGCATACAGAGAATCGAACTCAGGACCTTGTGCTTGCCAGGCAGGCGCTTGTGCCACTGATCTATATTCCCAGCCCGATTTTTTAATTACCTTTGGGTGCTCAGGATTAAACCTCAGCCTTCACACTGGGCTGCATCCCCATCCTTTTTGTTATCATTTTGATTTAGAGGCAGGGTCTTGCTGAGTTGCCCAAGCTGGGCTCAGACTTGTGATCCTCTTGGCTCAGTCTCCCAGAATAGAATGCTCAGACATACAAGCTTTTAATTAAAATTTTTCTTTGGTTTTCTTAATGTTGGTAACTGAAAAAGAAAGCCATGTTTTTTGGAGGGAATTGAACTCAGGACCTTGTGCTTGCCAGGCAGGTGCTGTGCCACTGAGCTATAGCCCTAGCCAAGGAAGTCATCCTTGACATACGGGTGTAGTGAGCTGTATATTACCAGTACCAAAGGGACTCACTTCATGTTCAGAACTCAGTTGTAGTCATTCGTCTTAGTGACACCTTTGTTCCATTTATTGTAAAAGTAGAGTGAGCACCTTAGGTCCTGCCACCACCCTTAGCTCCCTTAGGCCTTCTGTGTAGGTTTTGCTGAGCTTCGGCTTCACCTTTCCTCCTTCCTAGTGCTGTGGAGCACCCTAGCGTGCCAGAGTCTCCGGAGTTCGTCAGGGTCAGATCGTATGAATCCCAAATGGTTATCCGTCCCCACAAGTCATTCGATGAGGTGAGTTCCCTTCACCCAAGAGGTAATGAGTCATGACTGTGCATTTTCTCAAGCATGTCTTTTTTTTTTTTTTTTTGTATCGGGAATTGAACTCACGACCTTGCACTTGCCATGCAGGCGCTTGTGCCACTGAGCTATATCCCCAGCCCAAGCATGCCTTTTTACCTGGGCCGGGCCAGGTGAGCTTGTTGAGACTGACTGAGGGCCCCGCCTCAGTGTCCGGCTCAGGAGGGTTGGGACGTGGCTCGAGAGGTTCCACGCTGGGGAAGTGTGTGCGTGAGGCTCAGGCTGCTGCTCCGGGATGTGTGGTTGGGCCTTGCTGTAGAGTTGGGTGTAGCTGGAAGGTGGGCAAGGACAAGCAGTGCTGACCCGTGGCTGCGTTTGCCGGAGAGCGGGGGGAGTCGTAGCCACTGATGGTTGAGCTTCCATCTCAGCCTTTTCCAGGAGCTGGAGCAAGTACCTCCTGCCAGTATTTCATTGCAGTGGGAAAAACACTGGAAACCTGTCTAGGTTTTTGCTTCCTTGTCTGTAAAATGGGAGAGTTAGACTTTAGAATTCTGACTGTCCTTAGAAAAGAATACTTGTTTCCACTTAGTGGGGTATTTTGTGTTCCTAACCAAATCTCTATTATAGAGTGTACGTATTGATGCCAGGGGCTGCCAGTTTTAGTTTTGCTTTACTTGATCCTGGCTTTGTTTCTCCCCAGTGTTTTTATTTGTTTTAAAGCTATGGGGATTGTGTTTTTTTCTAGTTCTCATCAAGTTGTCTTATCTACTCAAAGTAGGATTGTGGTAGAGAATGTGGTTGACCTCAGACAGCATAATGTTTGACTTTTTTAGAAACTGGATGGTCTTTGTGTTTACTTGTGTGCTTTTTTTTTTTTTTTTTTTTTCCGGTACTGGGAATCAAACTCACGACCTTGCACTTGCCAGGCAGGCGTTGTGCAGATGAGCTAAATCCCCAAACCTCTTGTGTGCTGTTTTTAGAACAGTATTTTTCAAGTCACATTGCTGCTTGTTAGAGGGAGACAAAATTGAGGTAGGGTATTACGATCAGTTTTTAAAAAAATAAATAGGATATGAACTGACTGTAATCATACTTTGTGAAACTACTGTTGATTACATATATATGAGCGTGTGTGAGAGGTGAGAGCGAAAGGAAGGAATGAATTAAACTGCAATGTAGCAAGGGTTATTTACAGTGGGGAATGGTTAAAAATGTTTGAAAGTCCCTTGCTTTAGAAGATAAGAAATAAGGCTGCTTTTGAAGGCCAGTTACTTTTCGTGAGACAGGGTCTCGCTGTGCAGTTCAGGCTGGCCTTGAGCTCACTGTGTAGCCCCGGCTGAAGGCCAGTTACTTTGAAGGGGAGACAGGTCAAGTGAGGAGCAAGATTTGCTTGAGTGAATTTTTTGTCATTGTTTTATTTGAATCAGGATGTAAGGAAGATGCAGGCATTGATACTTGTTGATGCACTCATTGAATATCTCCACGTTGGTGTTTGTTGAAGAAACAGGCTTGTTTGCCCTGGACCTTGCCAGGTGTGTCCTCACAGTCTGCAGTGTCCCTTGACGTGATCGTCCGTCCCCGTCTTCTTGGGTATTTGGTAGGTAGATTGGTTAGAGGCTAGAAGAGCTTTAGTTTGGTTGGTCTAGACAGGATCACTTCATTCTCAGGCAAGTACTGTCTGGTTGGCTCTTTGTGAATGTCGAAGCTATCGATGACATCGATTATTTCATTAGGAATTACTAGGTTGATTTTGTCACTTTTCTTTAAGTCCCAGCTTACAAATGAATTCTGTTCCTGGAGAACACTTGTAAGTCAGATTTGTTTGTAAGTCCGACAAAGTAAGTCTTACTTGCCTTCAACAAGTACACAGTGTAAAACAAAAAAACAACCCACAAATACAGTAAGTCCTGACTGTATTGTACTACAGTACACTATCACACTGTGGAGTCAGCACACAGCAGCACAACTGTGGCAGCGTCCCCCGAACACGTGAGCTGCTTCTGTGAACCTTCATTATACAAGGTGAAATATGTCAGAGAAAATGTTGCTCATCACCTAGTTGGTGTCTATTCTGTGGGAAAGAGAAATAAGAGAAATGCTTGGCTTGTTGCCTTTGTTTTCTAGCTTTAAATGAAATGAGTTGGTTATTCAGTTAAGTATCCTCAAAGTAAGTATTAGTTTTTGTTTTGGAAGTGTCCTCAGAAACTCAGATTCAGCATACTGGATTAATTAGTTTTAGTACTTGACTGTTATTCTGATGCTCATATCGATACTATTTTTTGCTGTTGGGAGTCTGTTGGCTCAAGTCTTCCTGGCAGGGCCGGAAGCTTTCTTGCTCTCTGGCATTAGAAGATGTTTCAGGTCATGTTGGAGAGGTTTAGCTCTAAACCTGGCAATCAGCTTTTCTTTAAGGAGTCCTGGTTCCCTTGAGTGGAAAATGGCCCTTAAATACCACAGTTTTGCTGCTAGGGTTGTTCATGGCTATTAGGTTACTCTTTTTAGGCCTTTTCAGAAGGTAGAACTAAGAAAGAGGTTTTGTATGTTTACTTTTTTTTTTTTTTTTGCAGTATTGGAGATCAACCCAGATCCTCATGCATGCTAAGCGTTCTACCACTGAGCCCTGTCCCTCAGCCCCTTTTTATTTTCTTTTGGTTTTCTTTTTTATTTTTAATAGACACATAGTAATAGTAATTATTCATACTTACGGTGTACAGTGTGACATTTCGGTGCGTGTATACAATGTGTAATGCTCATATCAGGGTGATTGGCATATCTGTCCCCTCAGACGTGTCATTTCTTTGCATTGGGGATGTTGAAAATCTTCTCTTGGCTATTTTGAAATACCCAATTTTTCGTTTTTGTTTTTGCTTTTGTTTTTTTTTTCCAGTACCAGGAATCAAACTCATGACCTTGCGCTTGCCAGGCAGGCGCTGTGTCGCTGAGCTAAATCCCCAGCCCCTGAAATATCCAATTAATTGTTGTCAGCTGTGCTACAAGGTTGGCAGTTACTCTTTCTATCTGCCTGTGTCATGTCCCTGTTGACCGTCTCCCATAGGTTCTTTACTTTCCACTTGCTTTGGATTTTTAAGCACTGCTTTTTAAATTGCATTTTTAAAAAAATTACGGAAAATACTTGTTTCCAAAGTTAAATCTATAAATGAAGATTGTTCAGAGTAATTTACAGTATATCTCTGTTTCTTCTGCCCAGTTCCTGCCTTCTTACAGTAACCATTGCTTTCACTTTTGGCTTCCTTTATAGCATAAACAGTGTCAGGTAAGAATCCAGGTCCTTGATTTCCCAGGGCAAGTGTTTTACGGTAGAGTAATTTGGTCTTTAACTCATTTCTTCTTCTCAGCAGCCTTTGGGGTGGGCCCTCCTGCTTCTCCTGCCTCACACATTTCCTCCTTCCCCTGCATGCCTTCCGTGCAGCTGTGTGTTGGGCAGGTACCTTGTATCCAAGTAGCCAGGAGCTCCCGGGCAGGGACTGGAACACACTTGTTTCCTCTCAGCACCCAGTGCGGTGCTAGACACATAGCGGACAATCTAATATGTGTTAAGTAAATGTATAAAAGGTTCAACAATACACTTTGTAAGGGAAAAAAAAGATGGACTTTGCTGTGATAGCTGGAGCTCTGCTACCTATAGTTGTGCAGTAAAAATGTGCATGTGGAAAAGAGGTGAACGCCGTGCATTATACATCTCTTAGGGTTAGCACACTCTGAATCTCCTTGAATCCTGTGTCCGTCACTGTGTTAGACAGTAGGAGGCTGAGCCCGAGAGAGGTAGGTGCATGGCCCAGTGGCCGTGGTTCTCAGTGCTCTCGCTGGGTATGTGAGTAACACTGCCTCTTTGTGTTTAGTCTCCTCATCTGTAAAATGGGGATTATTGTGCCTACAACATTACAGGATTGTTGTGAGTTAAAGCCATTCCTGGCACATAAATGTTTGCCGTTACTGTCCTTACAAAAGGAGGAAGTGGTACAGATTCAGGTCCTTCAGCTGTAAACATTGGAGCTATGCATTGTGGGTTCCCAGGGTTTTTTTGGTTTTTGGTTTTTTTCTGGTACCAGGAATCGAACTCAATGACCTCGTGCTTGCCAGGCAGGCGCTGTGCCACTGAGCTAAATCCCCAGCCCTGGTTCCCAGGTTTACACTCAGCCTTGCAGATCTCCGGGGAGGACTCACAGGACTCTACACGTGGTTTTCTGACTGTGTCGTGGTCAGCACACAGCTGGACTGGTCTGGAGGAACCCGTGTGGGCCTTCCTTCTGCGTCAGTGACATGCATACATAATGTTTCAAACAGGAAAACCTGGTAAACTCAGCACTGGAAGGTTTTAGTGGGAGATGGTCACATTGTTGCACCCTCGCCTGGGCACATGCTGACATTCCAGGCTCCCAGTGGGGAAGCCTGTGGTGAGCAGGAGCCCCTGCCAGTTAACTGTTGCCTGGGAGCATGGCCACCGAGGGCCAGAGGTCAGCCTGGCCAGCCAGCGTCTGTGTGTATAGTGGTCTCCTGGCCTCCAGGGAGAACTCTTCTGCTCAGGGTGGCAAGAAAAGCACTTCCTGCACAGTCATCTCCTGGTTGTTCTTTGGTGCTGGGTGTGAGTGATGGTGGGTCATCTAAATGCCCTCATCTTTGCTGTTTTTCTTCTCCAGAATGGCTTTGACTACTTGTTGACCTACAGTGATAATCCCCAGACTGTGTTTCCGCGCTACTGTGTCAGTTGGATGGTTTCCAGTGGTGAGTAGGGATGTGTGCACAGGGCCTGAAGCCTGGGTTGAGCATTTTTTTCTTGATCTTTTTTTGAGACGGGTTTTTTTTTGTATCAGGAATCAAACTCAGGACCTTGTGCTTGCTGGGCAGGCGCTATGCCACTGGGCTGTATCCCTGACCCTGAGACAGGGTTTTACTTCTAGTTCAGACTGGTCTTGAACTCACTATGTAGTCCAGGCTGGCCTGGAACTCAGGGTGATCCTCCTGCTTCAACCTCCCAAGTTCTGGGATTACAGGCGTGTGCCACCACTGCTGGCTTCATCTTAATGACAGCAGGAGGATGTGTACTTGACTTACTAGAGTCCTTTTGGGGAAATTCCTGGTCCTCCACAAAGCACTCTAGCCTCCAGGTGGGACTTGAAGGGATGAGAGTCACAGAGTTCTAGGAAGCAACTGGTATGCCGAGGAAGATTTTTAAAACATTTGCTGGAATGCCTTAAATAGAGACCAGGTACACTAGTGCTTTCAAATTTTTTCTTGACTGGGTATGATGGTACAGGCCTATAAATTCTTGGGAGGGTAAACAAATAGGAGGCTGAGGCAGTGTGATCACCAGTTTGAGTTTAGCCTGGGCAATTTAGTGAGACCTTGTGTTAAAGTAAAAAATAAATACACAAGGGCTAGGGATGTCGCTGAGGCCCTTGGTTCAATCCCCTAAACCACACACACACACAAAGAAAGATTTTTTCCCAGTAGTGTTTAAAGCTGTAGCATCTGGCCTGGAGTTGTCACTGTGGGGCAGTCACCGGGGAGCAGCCGCTGCCGGTCGCAAAGGCTGTGTGTGTGTGTCACAGCTGTAACTCACCTTCCCTCCCAGTTTCCTGTCTTACAAAGTATCCCCCTGTGACTTTTCTTTCTTCTGGTTTTCTATATGCAGTATCTTACACTTGGGATAATGAAGAGAAGGAAAGTTGGTATTTCTGTTTGACATTTGTCTAAATTAAATTGGCAGCTGTTTTGACGTATGCCACTTGGTAAGTGGTGTTGTCATCACCTTAAAGAGAGCCATTGGGGGTTTAAGTGGCCTTATCACAGTTCCCCTTTTCAGGGGATCAGAGGTCATAGGTGGTTTTTAGAAATAAAAAATGTTTTTGATACAGGGCAATACCTAATGATTACATTTGTCACGAGGAGGGGCTGGGGATTTAGCTCAGCGGCAAAGCGCCTGCCTGGCAAGCGCAAGGTTGTGAGTTTGGTTCCCGGTACCGGAGAAATACATTTGTCACGAGGAGTTAGTACAAGCACGTTACACGTCTTAATTCTTTTCGTGTCCCTTCACCTCCTCTGCCGCCCCCTTTTGGTTTGTATAACCCAGGCGTGGGGGCACTTTCTGGGAGTAGCTGTCAGGGTGTCATTCAGGCTCTTGTCCCTGTGAGGGGGAGCTGCTCCCTGTGGGATAGGGCCTTCAAGTTTTGAGCCTCCAGTTGGTCTGTACAGCAGCCTAACCAGATTTTGGTGTCTGCCAACAGGCATGCCGGATTTTCTTGAGAAGCTGCACACCGCCACCCTGAAGGCCAAAAACATGGAGATCAAAGTGAAGGACTACATCTCGGCGAAGCCTCTGGAAGTGAGCAGCGAGGCCAAGCCCACTGCCCAGGCCTCTGAGCGGAAGAACGAAGGCAGCTGTGGCCCGGCTCGTATCGAATACGCCTGAAGGGCCTTGGCATGAGCAGGGAAAGGTGCTCCCAGCCCTGCCTCGGACCCTTATCACAGCTGCAGCACGGGACAAGCCACGAGTGTTGGAAGGCATCTGCTGGAATGGCCAGTGAGGGACCATCTGATGGCTGGTGTCTGGCGTCACTCGGAGCCCTGTTGCACTGTCAGAGAGAGGGTGGCATCCGTGGAGGCCTTGTCCTGTCCTCAGGCAGACATCCTAAGATTCAGTATTCCACTGAGCTCACCTGACGCAGCCCTTGCTTCTCAGGCTGCAAGGGGGTGACCTTTCGCCTCCCGAGGAGTCCCTCACTGACATTCCAAGCCCTGCCGTTGGCGTGCAGCACTTCAGGCCTCCTCCAGCTCCGCAGGCCCCCTGGGAAGGGTGCCTGGTGGCTCGCTGCTCACCGGGGTCACGGGCAGTGCTCTTGGTCACAGACCTGGTGGGATAGGTGTGGATGATACACGGCCGTGCCAAGTGCCTTGTCCTTACCTCGCTTTTACCTTGAGGGACGTGAAGTTTGTACCAAGATGTTTCTGTGGTAGTGTGCACCCCACTGACAGCAGAGCCCACAGTTCCTCTCGAACCAGCCGGGGTGTTACTGCGCTGTGTACCCAGATGGTTGCCTCTTCCCAGCCTTACCCCGTGTGCCAGGAGCACAGCAACTGCACCCTCCCAGACAGCAGCTCCTGTGCCATCAAAGTTGACAGGGCCTGTGGAAATGCTCACAGCGTCACATTTAAATTCAATTTAATTTTTTAAATATTTGTGTCAAAAAGGAATTGAGTGAGGCTTTTCCTTAGTCACTGTTCAGGAAAGTTTTGGTTCAGGTGTTGCTTCCCCCCTTGCGGTTTGAGTTGTCCTCCTCAGGAGGCTGAGGGCAGAGGAGCGGGGCTGGAATGCCGCCTGCCGGAGCTCCAAGCTTAAGGCCGGCCGTGTGGACAAATAGATGAAATTTTGCCAGCACCGGGAGTGTGGCATGTGGCACACGTGACCCCCTCATTGCTTTGGAAAGCTTTTCGTCTCTAGAGCTAAAATAAAGGCAGGGCAAGGTCACACCCCGGTGGTATTGGCTTGGCCTTGATTTTGCTCGTGCTCATGTTGCAGTCTCTTGGGAGGATAGGGATCAAGTTTTAAGTCCTCTTTTCTGGAGTTTAAATGGCTGAGTTTCCCCTTTTTCCTGCTTGCTACCCTGTTGTGTTGAAAAAGGAATCTAAGCCAGAGACTAATTTAAACCCCGCCCTCCTTGACCTCATTGCCTGTGCAGTTTTGTGCCAAGGACTAACCTGTCCCAGTGTTTGAGTCCTGTCGTTACGGATGGCAGAGCAGACCTGCAGGGAGACGTCCGCGCCTCCCCAGGACCTCCCAGAAGCTGGAAAGAGTCCCTGTGTTCCACCCGTGGTCGTGAGTGCGTGTGTGCACGAGTGTGTCTGTGAGTGTGTGCACAGGTGCTTGGCAGTTGTGGTCTCCCCATTCTCACAGTCATTTGATTGTGTACAGTTACTCCTGTCATTGTAATGATTTCACTCTTAACAGTAACATTTTTATCAAACGTGTGAATAAATATATGAAGATTGGTACAAAAGTGTTTGTCTTTGGATGCGTGGTGGGGAAATCCTAAGTTTCTTCCTGATCACAGGTGTAGAGGGTACCAGGGAGTGGACATAGGGGTGGCCGGGCTGGCACCAGCCACCTTCTCTAGACTGCGGCCTCTTTCCAGACAACCGCTTGACAGCTGAGAGTGAATTTGTTCCACATCTTCGTCCACTGGCGCACACGTGTCCTCTGTGGATCCGGCTTTGCCTAAGTGACACATTTGTTGTACACGTATTTCATACGAGTTACTGCACATAGGAAACTGCTACTGTGTTTGTGTGTCACCAGGCAAGCTTTTGAGTGCTGGGAACCCAAGTCCATTTTTCCATGTTGTGTGGTTTTGCGCTGTGCAACTTAGGAAGTAGCAGCAGCACTGACCATCCTTGAGCTGGAGGACTTTGGCTGCATCCGAGAGCTTCACAAACTCCCAAAGCCTGCGTCCCTCCTGGACCAGCAGCGTCTCTGAGCTAGTTGTACCAGCTGGGGTGAACGTGTTTGCTGAGCGTGATCAGGCAGAACTACAACGAGCTGCAGTCTAGATGAGCAAATTCCCCTCATTTTACATTGAGTTTGAGTCAGCCAGTGATAGGTAATCCTTTCTTAGCACTTAGTGTGTCACGCTCTGTGCTTCACGCTTTTTTTTTCTTTTCTGTTTTCTAAAACAGAGTCTCGCCATTATTTCAGCCTGGCTTTGAACTCACTATGTAGCCCAGTCTGGTGATCCTCCTGCCTCATCCTCTTGAGTGCTGGGATTATAGGCCCGCATCGCCGCACTGGTTCTGTGCTTTAGACTTTAATTGAATCCTACAGCTCTCTCAGAGCATAGCAAGTCGTGTAGGTGAGGAAGTGGAAGCTGAGATTAAGTAACTGTCTTGCTCAAAGGCACACAGGAAGTGACATATGAGCCAAGATGCTGACCTGGCTTTGACCTCTGAAGACACTTGCAGCATGGGTTAAAATTAATTTCTCAGGAACACAGGGCTGGATTCTGTCCCCTGGGGCAGGAACCTTGTTTGGAAGTGTGGATCGGCAGCTGACTGCTGTGTGGCTCACAGGCTCTGTGTGGCCAGGTGCTGGAGCTTCGCCTCCTGCAGCGGAATCTCAGGACTGCTGTGAGGAGCTGAGGTACCAGTGTTTTTCTCCTGAGAACTTCAGGATGGACGCGCTTCGGTGACACGGTGTTACGGTGACACGGTGTTACAGGGGGTTTGGATGATACTCGGGGACTTCTTGAAATAACAGTTTCTAAAAATACTTAATTTCAAAAATGACCAGTCCCTGTAGGACACAGCGAGACAAGTCTGAAAATTCTTAGAATGAAACTGCTCTTCATAAAACTGGAGAGCTGTGATTTCTAATGAAAACTATGATTGTCTAATAAAAGCCTCCAAAGTGGGTATGGATGCAGTGATCTAAATGTGAAATGTGCTGTCCCTACACCGGCCGCGGAGCATCGAACAACCCTGGGCTACAGGTACAGCTGGGTCAGTCACGCCGATGGTGGCCACAGCTGTCCGTAATGAATAAATGGCCTAAGCTTACTATCTACTTATGAGGAGCCTAACCACCCTTACGGAGGGCGAGTGGTAGAAAGTGGTGCTGCTTGGGCGTTTCTGAAGGGGATGGGAATTAGGAGCATGTTTTGCCCCAAGGGAAAGAAACCACAGGGCAGCAGAAGGAGATGCCTCCGTGAGCCTTCTGCTCCTGCTTGTCCCTAACGGACGTCCCTCTGGATCTCAGGGGGTGGGACCTCAGCAAGCTGGGTTTTAAAGTTTCCCAGAGACCTAAATGTGCAGTGTTGGAGAAGCATTGGGAAGGTGGTTAAAAGTCCAGACTTAGGAGCTGGAGCCAAGAGCTGACCTGGCCCGAGGTAGTGGATCTGTGTCTTTCTCATTTGCAAAAGGAGTAAGACTGTTTACCTGGTAGGGTTGCTTCAAAAATTCATACTGTACAGTTGACCTTGAACACCTCAAGGGTTAGGGGCACTGGCTCCTATGCAGTTGAAGACCCACATGTAACTTGACTCCCCTACAACTTAATAGCCTGCTGTTAAGACCGGAAGCCCTATGGGCTGCAGAGCTGATGAACATGGATTTTGTGTGCTACATGTATTGCACATGCTGAAAAACCCCCAAGAACTGCCAGGGGCCACTTTTTTGCAGTACACCATTTCCTGGAGAGACACTGCTCACTTAGTGACCAATGTCACGGGCATTTTAGGCAGACTCAGCACTGGAGCCGCCCCAGTGGCAACAGGAGATGGCAGCACAGACAGTGACAGTGTTACCACCGCCTGTTCCTGCAGCTGTGATTGAATACTACATCGGGACCTTCTGGTTTGCTACACTTCTGTTCCCCGCAAGCAGTGTTGTGTGTACTGTGTGTGTGTGTAGGTTTTGATAAATTTTAACTTTATAATGTGTCTTACAGTAGGAAATGCGATTTATATATATTTATACATTCATGACATTTTTCTGTTTTCAGTGTTTCTGGGCCATGAATTTCATCTGTGGGTTTTTTCAAATTGCCACAAATTCCAGTACTCGTGCGCACGCACATACACATACACACACACACACAGATGTGCAAGGTACGAGACAGCACTCAAGACAGTGTCACTGTCTTATTTTCTCTTGTTGGTGTTTCTGGATGGGAAGAACGTGACACTGTCCCTCCTCAAATATGTCCCCTCTGTCCCCTGGAAGCTGAGGCAGCTGTGCTCTCAGTGTCCCTGGGGCCTCCTCCATGGCCCGTCGTCATGTCTGGTCCCTCAGTGGGGACAGCAAGGCAGGAGGAGAAGGTCCCCTCTCTGCGGTCGCACCCCTGATGCACACCATCTCGGCCTCCTTCTTTGGTCTGAAGACCTCCTCCAGCCCCCGGGAAACAGTTTCTATTTTGAGCAGCTGTGTGTCCAGTTAAGATTTGAGGCTTTGCCAAATGACAGGCAAAAGGTATTTTCATCACTTCAGAAGACTGACACTTTCAATTGTCGAAAGCAAAAACAGCATTAGTTTCAGTAAATCACCTAGAATGGAGCAGATATTCTAGAATTTTACTCGGCGCCTACACGAAGCCAGTTGCTGTGTAATCCTGGGCTTAGCCCCCATCCTCGAGAGCCCGAAAGACCCTTGGCTCCCCCATCTGTGGCAGCCTTCGTTGCCTCGGGCTCCTCCCTCTGTGGCCCCCGTGCCAGGGGTTGGGCTCTCAGGCCCCTATTTTTGCCTCATTTCTGGCCCCTGGTTGTGTCTCACTCTTGTTTATGTCTTTTTCTTCTTTGTCTTCTGACCCTCACGCATCCTGCGTTTGTGTCGCCTGCTCGGACCGCTCTCTTTTGGAGCACAAGTGTCGTTACCACGAGTGCCTGTGTCCTTTGGTTCCCTTCTGGGAGTGCTGCAGTCGCCTGGGCTGTGGGTCCACAGCTGGAGAGCAGGACTCATTTGAAAAGTAGGAGTGATGGGAGAGGAGCAAAGAGCATAAACATTTGGGACTTCACAGCCTGATTTCCTCTTTTAAAATGTCACAGTCTTCCCTTTCCACCAGAAGAGACAGCAGTGGCAAAGTCTGTAGAAGCTTTGGGGCCAGGCTGGGGTGTGCTTAGGGACTGCAGTGTGGCCAGCCCTGAGCGGTCTGCGCTCCTTCAGTATGACCTTGACCTTCACCCATCATGACAGAGACCAGCCTCGATGGGACGTGGCCGCTCCAGCTCCCCAGAGAAAGATACATTCATGGCGCAAATGCTTCGAGAAACGGGCCGGCTGTGTGAGTCAGGCCTGGAGAGCCAGGCCAGGGCCAGCTCTGCTGTTAGTGAATAAAACACGCAGGAGCCCAGCGTCATGGGGTCTGAGGTGACGGTGTAGTTGTGGGACATCCGCTCTGCCATGTTGCCCATACCTTCCCCGAGCCTGGCAGTGAGCGCCTGCACGACCAGATGGATTTCCCCCTGTTCTCTGCTTGTTTGGACTTGGGCCCATTCGGGACGTTGCGTCTCTATAGTGAGGGTTGCAGCCACTATTTGAACAAAGGCTGCTCTAACGGGAGTTTCTGCGGAGGGGGTGGAAGGCACCGCTTTTCATCTATGAGCTTCGGAGGCTTAGGATGTGCCTGTGACACACAGCTCTTCCCTGGTCTCCCTGGGCTCCTCGCCTTAGTCCACTGGGATCCAACCTGTTTTCTATTTCACTGCAATTCCTTGACAAAGATTTTGGTGCTATCTTTCAAGGTCACAATGTACATCCTGAAAAATACTCCTAACCGCACGAAAGGCATCCTGGGAGAGGTATGTGAGGTAGTAATTAGCTTCTGTCAACAAAGCACTCCAGACTGAGTGGCTTCAGTGACACCCATTTGCCATCTCCCATGCAGTTCTGAGACCAGAGGTCTGAGATCAAGGAGTGGGTCCCAGTGTTTTATTCTGAGGACTGAAGGGAGAATATTCCAGGCTTCTCCCGGTCGCTGGCAGTCTTTGGTAACCCTTGGCTCTTGAAGCATTGTCTGGTCTCTGCCTTTGGAGTCCCTGTGTATGTGTCTTGTTCACATTCCACTTCATATAAGGGTATCAGTCTTCCAGGATGACCGCGTCTTATTTCACGTCATGACTTTCTAAATAAGGTCACATTTTAGGATACTGGGGATTAGATCCCCAAAACTCAAATTTCAGGGAAACCCACGGCATGGAGAGACCTGTAGAAAACCTAATTTAGGAAAAAACCTGGCAAAATAAATGTCTGGAAGATGCTGCCCTCGCCTGAGCCCTGAAAGACCCCTGCCGGACACCTGGCTTGCAACTTCAGTGTGGAGCAGCAGGGGGCAGTGCAGCGCCACAGGATGGGGCCTCTGCCTCCGGGCTGCTGGCGGGACAGGTTCATGCAGCCTGGGGCTCCCTGGCTCCCCTGAGCAAATGAGAGGAAGCGAGTTAGACAACCACAGCCTGTGTGGGCGGAGAGGACATTGGCTTGAAGAGGGTGTGTCCCTTTGGGCAACTGGCACATT